GAGGAGGAGGAGGAGGAGGAGGAGGAGGAGGAGGAGGAGGAGGAGGAGAGCGAGAGCGAGAATGAAAATGGAAATGAAGATGAGAATGTGAATGTGAATGTGGATGTGCAAAAGAAGAAGCGATCCCCTTCGTCATCATCAGAGTACAACAACCACAACAACGCTGCATCTGTAACAATCACATCACCGCTCGACATGGACGTTGCGATTGCCGAGCCGCAGCCGAATGTGGAAAAGCGGCAGAGCATAGTAATTGCAGCACTGCTATCACTCATCATCATTGAGATATTTGCAACGGTTACGGCGGCCGTGGCCATTGTCGGAATAGCAGGGCTTCTTGTTTTCCTGAATCCGCTGACGGGCGCGCTGAGTGCCTTGATTCTGGCCGTGCAGTTGGTACTGGATGTTGTCTTGGTGGGTGTTATTGCCTTGTTGAATGCGCTGCTTACGTCGCTTGCGTTGGGCTTGAGTGGCTTGTAGATAGATGGGTTAGATTTGGAGGTATCAATCTACATAGCAACGGCGACGACCTTTAGAAAATCCACACGCTCTCACACACAATCATGACCAAAGTTTTCTTGACAAACAATGCATGCTCGATTGATACGCCTAACCTGCGCCTACAGATGCTATGCAAAACTCCCGTTGCAAACCCCACCTGAGCAACCCTCATCAATGTCGTTGTCATTTACATCAATAGTTTTTTTTATCCATCCCAATCCTCTTTCGTCAATCATGTTCGTCTAAGCTAAACTCCACTGTACGTCACTTAACCCTCAATCACCAACAAGCCTAATCTCGGCGACATCGTCTTCCGGCTGGGTAACAGGCGTGGCAACACCGCCCCAAGCCCCCTTGACGGGACCATCGTCACCAAAGTCTTCCAAAAGTCTATCGCTCAGTTCCATGCCGTCACCCGTCGACGCCGCCCCAGTGTCGGACGCGACGCCACCAGTATCAGAATCATTATCATTGCGAGTAGCGTTATCGCTAAGAGAATTAAAACTCCAGATCGGCTGATCGCTATCAGCTGTCCAAGGGTTGTTGGTGTACGAGTCTTCGACGAAACCTTCATCTTCGTCAGCATATGGTGGCAAGTCGTCATCGTCACTCAGGTTCACGGCTGCGACTCCGTTCTTTGGACGGCTCCCGGCTGCTGAACGCTGATAGCCATCCCCGCGCAGGGCTACGGCTCCCGCTGCGACTGCGCCAGCGCTCGACGACCCATTGCGGGACGAATCGCCGAGGCGCAAGCCGTTTCCCGCCGGTGAGCGAGAACGCGCTTGCTGATCATCTGCGTCCGTATTCTCGTCATCAGAGTCGGCATTGCTGACTTCGGCAGCTACGATTCTTTGAAGCTCCGGAGGGCCTAAAGGGACAGGCGAGCGGCGGCGGTAAAAGAGCAAGTACGCAGCTCTCGAGACGGCCTTGCGGCCAGATTCGCACCGCGACACGATGGAATCTACAGAGGTTAGCCTGCTACAATGACAAGGTTCGAAACACCTTTTGATGTTCGAGACGGGCAGGAAAAAGAGCATTGCTTACCATTGTAGTCATACCACTGCTTATCGAAGAAATTCTGAGCAGTGGCTGTGTAATGGCCGCCTCCCAAGCCACCATAGTGGTTGTCGACAGCGAACAGGTCGTAAGTGAGATCCTTGCCTTCGGGGTAGCCGACTTTGCCCGAGAGATCTAATCCTTCAACTGGGAAGTCAACCAAATCCTCAATCTTGTCCCGGAACGTTCGGTGGCCACTGAAGCGCTTGAGGTGTATGATGAGAATGTCAGGTACAGTCCAAATCTCCAACGTCTTTGTTGCACGGCGCAGCTCCTTGCATCGGCTGCAGTACCATGCATTGTCTTCGGAGAGCACTTCGCTCTTGGACGACTCAGTGAAGCACTCATCGAGGTTAATGCCGTTTTTCCTGCGGGCTGCGCGTTTTGCTTTCTTATCTTGAATCTCAGGGTCGTCAAGTACCTCGACAGATTTCATCACATCGGCGCCCCGAGGATCGTCGTCCGCAGTCCCTCCGAACAAGGCGTCAATGGCCTCTGAAGTCCAGTCAAGCACAATGCCCTCGCCCATGCGGATCAAGCGGTCATCCGCCTCGTCATCCGCATCTTCTGGATAGTTGGGCTGCTCAGGCACCCTGCCGCCTTTGCGGTTCTTGAAGTTCTTGTTATTTTTGTGCTTTCTTTCCATTTTTCGCTCGTGCTTTCGTGCCTTTTTGCTCTTCTTCTTGTTTTGACGACCAGACCGCGCGAATTCTGTCGTTTCCGGCTCGACCGACTGCATCTCTTCGTCGCTGCTAACGTTTGCCGCGTCAATCGCAGCATCTGCATCGACAATTGTTGACTGCGACGCGTCTTCGTCTTCATCACTCGACGTGGCCTCACTTCCACCAACAGAAGACTGGACAGATTCCTCTCGCGACGGTGGCACTCGGATGCGCTTCGAAATGGGCTCGCATGTGCGGTTGTGATCCAGTGTACTCCAACCAGTAGTCACAATTTCAGTACTCTTTCTAGTGTGCTTCATTTCGAACAACTGTCTGTTAGGCGTTAGCACTAATCGCCCAATGATATCAAGACTGTTTTGCTTACCTGAACTCAGGATGGATGTAGCCACCCGGACGGAGAACTTCTGGAATCTGATTGGCATTCTCGGTTTGGGCGGTAGTTGTGTCTTTGGCATCCGTCATAGTCACCTCGACCATATCCTCACCTTCAACAGAGCCATCCTTGACCTGGGGATCGTTTGGTGAAGCATCTTCTTCAGTTGTCAGGACGACATCAGAGCCAGATTGCGACTGATCTGATCCACTGAGCTCAGTGAGAATCTTCCGTGTCGTCATCTGCGCGACCCGTGCCAACACCTTTCTCAAGATGGCATCGTAATCTCTTGCTTCCTCGCGTGTGAGGACGATGAAGCTAGGCCAAAGCGCCATGCCGACGCTCGATGACCTGTAAGCTGACACACCCGGACTGCGATGGAAGAGGGGGACTACAATGCGGTCATGGAGCGGTGAAGCGCTCTCTGGAATGTCCTCGTCAGAGGACTGGGAAAGCAGCATTTTGTATTTTGAGCCCTTCTTTTTAGGGGTGGGCCAATTGCTTGGAGCCAACTCAAGTTCGTAGAAATAGATGTCATCCCTGGCGCCAATATTCGACTCGGATATGGTGAGTGCATCATCCAGGTGGCGGTAGAATTTGTGGCTATATAGCTCAGAAGCCATGATGCGGTTGGCTGGTACGCCGCCGCCGCGCTTGCCGACAAACTCTTTCAACGTCTTGATAGTGGCATTCTTGTCAATGTCAACCTCGAGCTGGTAGGGTTTTCCGTTGAGCGGCACATAGGTGATGGTGTGGGTCCAAGTCTGCTCTATTGGCAACTGCAGGGTGAGCTGGCTGTAAGGGTCGAAGGTAATGCTGACTTTCTCGCATTCTGGGCACACCATTGTGTTTTTGTAGAACCCACTAAACAGGTCCATGGCCACCGAGTTATTCCGGGCGCGGTGATTGTCTCTGTAGATTTCGCCAAGTTTCTTAACAGCTTCTGGATCGCGATGAGTGTCGTCCTCTGAATCCGGATTCTCTCGGTACGGCTTTTTGTGTATCCGATTGAGGTCCTCGTGGAGGGCATCGACCAACCAGCTGACAAACTCTTGGGAATCCTGCTGACCGTAACCAGAGAACAAGCTATTCGCTCTTCCTAGCTTTTGCTTGAAATCCTTTGGCGAGACCGAAGAGCTGTTGTCAAGGCTGTAGATGGCACTCAGCAGCCCAGCATATGATTTAGCAATGACACCTTTGTGGCCTATAGGATTGTCGGCATTGACCTCTTCTTTCCATTTGCCGTTCAGAAAGTACATGCTCAACTCTTCAACACTACGTAGACACTGGAGAGCCGAGTTCATGTAACATGTGTTGCCAAGGTTGGTCAATCCAACGTGGCCGCGCACTTTGCCATTCTGCTTTCTTCCGCGCGTCACAGGACCGCCGGTAGGCGTGTTTCTTCCACTGGTCGTGGTACTTTGGAGTCCCTTTCCAGCCAGAGCAGTAGCCTTAGTCTTGGATGCATCCTTGGTTGTGTCGGAAATGTATTCGCCTTTCTCGTCGTGTTCCTCTAGCACAATGACTTGGTCCTGTGTAAGGCCAGCATCGGCCAGAGTCAAAGATTCGTTGAAGTCCTCGTTGGCCTTCTCGTCCTTGCCTGTGACGAGCTCACGCTCCGACCCGTATGCAAGGCCGTTGAAACTTGCAACGTCCATGACAAGAGAAGGCATTTGAGTGCCTATTGGCGCAACAGGTGAACCATTTCGGGGCGATGCGTCTGGAGTGAGTATGCCAGCAGGCTGCGCTGATTGAGGCTTGTCGGTGGGAGCAGTGGCAAGGATTCTCCACACCCGCACCTTTTTGTCCAAGTCGATACCCGCAGCCTTTTTGGCAGCTTCAAGAAAAGCGATGAAGCTCTCGTAGCGGCTGGCAACGATTTTCTGCGCCAACCTGGTATTGTCTGCAAGAGTTGTTGATTTCCGCACTTTTCGGACAGTAATAATAGGGGGGTGGAGCTCGTAGGAAATGTCCTCGCTGACCTGGCCCGGGACCGTGTTGTGGGCGTACCGCCTTATGACTGGGCTGCCCTTCTTGAGTCCATACCAGCCTAGTACCAACTCCCAGGCTTTGCGGGGGAGAACCTCGAAATCCTGGCCGAGGGTGGCGGCCTTGCTAAGCGGAATGAAGTCTTCGCCGCGCTGGTCAGCCAGGTCATCTTGCAGTACTTGGACGTCGACAAGATGCGAGTTGTCCACCGGACCGACTGGGCCCTGGGTCGCTTCTTTGCTGAAATCCTGCGGCCTGCTGATGTTCTCCGATGTGCGCGCCCAGACACGCTCCAGCCAGCGCTCGGAGATGATGTAGCCCTCTTGGCGGTCCACCAGAGGCTCACTGGTCATCATGCCCATGACGCGAGTGACCTGCTCGTCTATGGTGGGCAGATCGGCGTGCTGCGAGGCGTCGATGCTGGTGGCCGAGGAGCCCGAAGCATCGCCATCGGCCTCGGAGCTGCCGCTGTTGGGCGTGTCGGCCATGTCGACCGACGCTGCACGCGCGCTGCGCTGGGATGCGCCTGCGGGTAGCGGCTTGCTGGCGTGGGGGGTGGGCTGCGCGTCGCTCGAGGGCAGAGCGGCGTCGGGGTCGGCCTTGTCGTCCATGTCTGAATGAGAGCGCTTAGCGGGTGAGGATGCCCGGGGCGGGGGGCGCGAGGGGCTGTAGTACTGCTCGGCGGCGCGTGTGCGGTCGAGGTCGGTGATGGAGCCCTCGCGGCTGTCGAGGGTGAGGTTGGCGTAGGCTTCGCTGGGAGAGCTGGCGCCGTTGCTGTGGTCTCGTGCAAACTGACTACCAGAGTCGGAAGCGTCGACAAGGACCTCGTCGTGCAGGTGCGGTGGCAAGTAGCGCGGCGGTGATGCTTCAGGCGGCTGCGGGGAGGAGCGAGGAGACGCTACACCGGCGCTGGCCACATTCGGTGAATGAGTGCCGTCCCCGACGTTTGGTGAGTCTTTTGCGGGGACCACAATCTTCCGCTTCTTATTATTAGTGTAGGCCGTCTTGAAGTTGAGTGCCTGCCGCGAAGCCCGTGACGAGCTTCAGGACAGACTATTATACGGTGAAGGATAGCCGAAGCGGCGGAGAAGGAATATGCAACGCGTCGATGGGGGGCTGCGATACCTAGGGAGTCGGTCCTCTTTCTTCACGGGGAAGGCTTCGCAGCGGTGAAGAACGTGGGGTCGGTCAGGTACAATGCGCCGCAAAAAATGAGTGCACTCCAACGGACATGGGCCGTCGTCACTCCTCGTTCCCACTACGAGCTCAGCCTTGCGAATAAGCGAGCTTGGCAACAGCAGTGAATGAGGCGACACCCCTGCCCCTGTCTCGCTAGCTCGCCGCAACCACGACATGCTTCACACACACACACACAGCACGAGGCCCGTCTTTTGCATATTTGCATTCACCGTCAGAGCCGATTCACAGTGCTACACCGCGTCGGCTCTGCTACTGCTAGCTATAGTTATCGTGCACCACGGTCACACGGCACCACGGCACCCTCACTTTGGCCCACCGCTGTTCAGCCATGCAAAAGCAGACGCACCTCCAACCGGATTTGCTGGCCGAGACTTTGGAAAAGCCATGTTGTTCTCCTTTGCCTTCTCTGCCGACACGGTTCTCTTGGGCTGTGGGGGCGCTGGGCTGCTGCCCGTCTCAGGCTCGCCTCTGCGCTTTCCATCATCGAAGAAGCGCGACTGCCCTGTAGCTGGCAAGGAGTTGGACGTCGACATGGCTCGTGCCGGCTTGGATGGCTTCAGCACCTTGATGCCTGTGTCGCGTCGTTGGTAGCTGGGCGTTGAGCTTGTGGTTTTACCCACGCTCGCCCAGTCCAACGAGCCCGCGTTGGCCTTTTCGGCCTGGTCACGACGCCAGTTGCTCCAGATAGCCGATGGTGCCGCAGGGTGCGGTGCTCCACTGGCAGCGTCCAATTCTGGCTCGTCTTTATATTCCGAGCGCCGCGACAGGGAGAGGCCCAGCCGCGGACGCTGCTCGAGACTCCTCCGGCCGCTGGACCCACCATCGTCGGAGTTTGTTGCCGTGCCTGTGTCAGTAGATTTATCAGTAGGCAAGAAAGGATCGTGGGCTGCTGACGCGGTGGAACCCTCACCCGTGTCGTCATGTTGCGTGGGTGCAGACACTGGGGCTCTTTTGTTGTGCTCTGCGGATATGGCGCGGCATTGACTTGAAGTGTGCAGCGACCTAAACGCACGCTCGTCTTCCGGACGAACTAGGGGTATCTGGAGTTTACTGTGCTCGTCGTCGTAGAGAGTTAGCTGGCTCGATGAAAACAGCAAATCGGCATTGTGTGCTCGCAGCATGTCGCTGCCAAGGAAAATCTGGATGGCCTTTGGGTTGGCGTCGGGATTGTGTTCGTGCACAACAGTGAAATCTACACCGACTGACGGAAGTTGCGGCGCAGGGCTACTAGACCGTGAAGACGCCGATACTGGCACGGCCTCTGGGAGGTAGACCGACAGCTTGATCTTGCGAACACCGTCATCGTCCAGGATGACCTGGTCCTGGAAGCCCAGCTGCTCAATCAGGTGCAGGTCCAAGTAAGAAATATATGAGCCTGAGCACACGGCTGCATAGAGTAACGTGTCGTGCTTGAAGTTAGTGTTGAGCCAGCAACGTATGATGGCGGGCACCGAGCCCAGAATGAATAAGCCAGGAGCCAGCCCTGGAGCATCTTGGGGCGTGGTTGGGCCGAAGCTTGTGAGGCTGTTGGCCCGACCAGACGCCATCGAGTGCACCGAGTGCCCAGCTGAGCTCTGCCTGCCGTCCGACTTGTGCGAGTAGCTGCGTTCGCTCATGGCATGTCCGCCCATGCCGCTGCCGGTGCGGGGTATCAAATCCAGCGAAGATCGCGACGCGTGGGCCCAGTGACCGTGGTTGGCCGTCTCGTCGAAGCGGACGCTGTTGGCGCGGGAGGTGACGCCTACGCGACGGGGCTCTTCATCGGCGTCGAGCTGGAGATTGCCGATGAGGTTGCTTGAGTGGTCGTCAAAGTTGGAAAAGTGCTCGGCCGTGGGCTGCTGCAAGGGGACTAGGACACGTTTAGGTACGCGCACACAGTGTTGGGGGGGCTGAGTTCCGTACCTTGCTGTGGTGTCCCCCCAAGGACCGAAGGGAAGGGTGACGAAGTGCCCCAGACGTTCTTTAGGCGCGAGTCGTCCTCGTGCTTGCGCTCCAGGCGGGCGACGCGATCAGCGAGTTCGGCTTGGCTCTCTTGCACTCGAAGCATTTCGCTCTGGAAGCGCCAGAGATCGTCGCGTGGCTGAAAAGCTACGCTCTGGGGATCCATGCCCTCGACTTTGTCTCTCTCGATCTCCGTCTCCCTCTCCCTCTCTCATCCACCAGCGATGTGCTCAAGAAAGAGAGGCCAACCTTCCCGTAGGCGCTCCCCTGGCGACGGGCCGCGGACGGCTGCTGCACCTCAATCCTTGGACCTGTCTTGTGTGCGATACGAATGGGGCGGTTGTGTGGTATATGCGGTGTGGGTGTGGGTGGAAGCGTCTCGAACAAGTATACGTGACGACGTAGCAGTAAGCTTGTGCTCTTTGGAAGGCGGAGTGGTGGTGATTTGGCAGGTGTAGCAAGGTCACAAAGGCGTGCACGCAACCCTAGGGGGGGGCAAGGGAAAAGGAAAGTGACGATGGTTGGCCAACGAGACTAGCCAGCGTTTGAAGCGGAAGGAGCAAGCGCCACAGCCAGGTATGCCGACGGCCAGCGGGGCCGTGAGAAGATGGTGGGACACGAAGCGACACGATTTGCAGTGTCTGGCGGTGAGGTTGGGGCGTCAACGAGGACGGGTGGCTATGGTGGACATTTGCGCATGTTCATCACGGATGCCATTCTGGAGGTTCACTCGAGGGCGACGCCGCTAAGCACTTGCCTGCCGGAGTTACAGCCCAAATCCGATTGGACGAGGCGAGTGCCCCCCGTCCCCGTCCCCACCCCCAGAGCAGCCCCGCAATTAATACTTTGTATGTGTGTGTAGTATGTAGTAGTAGTAGTAGTGGTAGTGGTAGTAGTATGTGTATGTACATGCTGTTGGCTCCTATGCACGCATTGGCATCCGAGTGCTATGTTGTGGCTGGTGTTTTCTTCTTCTTCTTCTTTGCTGTTCACGCAGGCTTGGAGGCTGGCTGAGCATCTTGCCACGCTTTCCAGGCGGCCTCGTCGTTCCATGGCGGCAGCACCATGGGCAGCTTGTCTGGCATGTCGTCGGGCCAGTTTTGGGCAATGGCCTTGAGCATCTCGTCGTACAAGATCCGATAGCCGAGCGGGCTGAAATGAAGGCCTGTGTAGGAGGTCAGTAGGGCATGTCTTGGTTGCCAGCTGCGTGGCGCATGTAGGTAGTAGTAGTGTAGTAGTAGTAGTGTAGTGCAGACGTACCGTCATACATGAGCTCGGCCAATGCGTCGCTCGGGGCCAGCGCCAAGGAGCCAGGCACAGGGTCTCCGGGCTTCCATGCATTCACATCCAAGCCGGCGCGCGCCATGAAGGCGGCCCAGAGATTCACGACCGGAAGGCGCAGCTCAGCGCCGAGCTCGACGACGGCATCGGCATACAGCTTGGTCGTGGCAGCCAGGCGCGACACAGTCGTGTAGCCGTTGGACTGGTCGCGGGGCCACCACAGGTGCTCGTTGATTGGGGGCGGGGCGACGAGCATCACACGAGGGGCGTGGGCCTGGATGCGGGCATGGCAGACAATGGCCCTGAGGTTGGCCGTGAAGTCGGGCAGCGGGACGTGCTGCTTGTTGGGTGCCTGTGGCAGCGACGAGTCGTTTGCGCCAAAGAAGACGGTCTGGTCGGTCAATCGTGATATCACATGAGGTGGACAAAGTAAAAGCGCAGGGCACGTCGTACCAGGAAGCGGATCTTGGCCTCATTGGGAGGGGGCACGATTGCCGGGAGGATCTGGAGAGCTTGACGAGTGTTGTACCCGCTTTATGACATCAGCGCCGCCGCGTCGACGTGGGGAGGGCATTGGCATGGTGTTACCTGAAGCCCCGGTTGACAACATCGAGTCGCCTGGTGTATGCTGGCGGGGGTCGTCAGCATGCAAGCGTCCAACGGGCCGAGCCAATATTGCATTGGATGCGGAAACGAGCTCCGGGCAGCGAGGTTTCACGCAGAGCAAAGGGCGACGAGGAACAGGTAGGGAGAGGCTTGTGGGCTGACTGACCGGCCTGGAGGGCTGCAGACGAGGCAAAGCCGCGGTCCTGGGCAAACGAGTCCTGCGTGATGCTGTCGCCGAACACGACGAAGTGCTGGTAGGGGGCGGGCTGGGGGAGGTCAATTGCCGGCGATGGGACATGCGTGTGCAGCGTAGTAGTAGTAGTAGTAGTAGTAGTAGTAGTAGTAGTAGTAGTAGTAATAGTAGACGAGCAGGGCTCTCAGCGGGCACTCACCATGGTGATGATGATGATGGCGATGGAGCACCGGCAGCGCCTGGGCACGTGGGTGGGTGAGTCGAGGGGGGGTATGGGTATGGGTATGGGTATGGGTGTGGGTGTGGGTGTGGGTGTGGGTGGGCTGAGACTGGAGCAGGAGCTTCCGCATGCGATCAGCGGGCAGGCAGAAAAGTAACGCAGTGCAGCAGATGGGCATTACGGCATGCAGAAGCTGCCATGGCGTGCAGAGCGAGCACGGCAAGCGCAGAGGGTGCGGCGCGGCGGCGCGGCGCTGATTGGGCGGCGCGTCGGCTTTCCCTGCATGTGGCCGCCGCTCGCTGCTGGCGCGCACCCACACCCGCCGATAATCACATGGCACGTCGACGCGCCTGCCGCCAGCCGCCAGCCGCCAGCCGCACGCCGCACGCCGCACGCCGCCATGACATCGCCGCCTGCCAGCGCTGTGCTGCCCCTCCGCCGCCGCTGCCTCTATCGCTGCCGCTGCCGCTGCCCTCTGCTGCCTGAGTCGAGCGGCTTGCTTGCCTATCTGAAACCCGCCCCCCCCGGCTCTGAGGCGCCTCACTCCCGACTCACGCTGCATGTACGCAATAGGCTCCATGATCCGCGGGCGTAGCGTCGACGGGGGCCATGCTGCCCAGCCATAGCATATCCATCGTGACACCGCCATCGCGACCCAGATGACCACGATAGCGGCCCTCGCTCGGCGACATGTCTCTGATTGACCTCACCACTAAAACACCGCCTGTCCCCAGAGCGCCCCTTCCTTGTCGTCTGCTGCTATAGTTTTCTCGTCCACCTGCTCCTTCCCTCCGCCCCTCCTCCTCCGCCTCCCCTCCTCCGCCTCCCCCCTTCCACCGCCGCCGCCATGCCCAGGTCGACGCACTCGTCCCGCAGCGTCGACGACTACGACGCTGGCCATGACTATGGCTCCGCCGAGCGGCGCGAGGGGCATGACACATACAGCAGCACCACGCCCACGTCGCCGACCCTCACCTTCAGCGCCATGCGGCACATGCGCGCCTCCGACACCGACCTCGCCAGGTCCAGAGAGAGCGTCAATGAGCGCACTGCCCTGCTGGGCGTGCCCTATCTGCGCAGCGCCCGCTCCTACAAGAGCCTCCCCAACACGACGCCCGGCACCCCCCGCCCAGGCATGACGCGTAACAACAGCCAGCTGCCCACGGGCTCCCGCATGCGCTCCAGCAGGCGCGGCTCCATGACGGGCGGCCACACCTTCAGCCAGCGCCTCGTCAATGCCCTGGGCGAGCGCGGCCACGGCCTCGAGCAGAGCATGCACTCGGCAAAGGCCTCGCTCTTCCAGGACGACCGTGTGTGGTACGACCAGTTCACGTCGACTGATTGGGTCCACGACAACATCGCCGATGCATACCGTGTCAAGGCGCTTCGCAGCAGAAAGGACATCAGGGGCCGCCTGGCGGCTTGGTTCGACGGTGCCCAGGGCTGGGTGCTGGTCGCCATCATTGGCGTTCTGACCGCCGTCTGTGCCTATGTCGTCAACACAACCGAGACCACGCTGTTCGACCTGAAGCAGGGGTACTGCACCGTTGGCTGGACCAAGAGCCACAAGACCTGCTGCGACGGTGCCTCCATCTGCGACAAATGGGTGCACTGGTCCGAGGCCGTCCGCACAGACAGGCTTGACGATGTCCAGGCACAGTATGGTTTCTTTGTACTTTCTGTCGTGCTCCTCTCCATGGCTTCGTGCCTGCTCACCCTCACCACCAAGACAGTCATCCCGTCCGCCGTTTCGCTCTCCACGCTTGACGAGAACCTCGGCGCAGATGTCCGCACGTTCTCCGACGACGACGATGACGATGACCGCAAACGCAGCATCAGTCCAGAGTCGAGGTTCCAGGAGGTGCAGGGCCGCCCGCCAATGGTCTACTACTCTGCTGCAGGCAGCGGCGTGGCCGAAGTCAAGGTCATTCTCAGCGGCTTCGTCCTCCACGGTTACCTGGGTGTGCGTACATTGGTCATCAAGACTCTTGCTCTCATTCTCAGTGTGGCCTCTGGTCTCAGTCTCGGTAAAGAGGGTCCCTACGTCCATATTGCTACTTGCATTGGAAATATTGCATGCCGTATCTTTTCCAAATACAGCAACAACGACGGCAAGCGCAGGGAGATTCTGAGTGCCAGTGCTGCTAGTGGTGTAGCCGTCGCGTTCGGCGCTCCCATTGGCGGCGTCTTGTTTAGTCTGGAGGAAGTCAGCTACTACTTCCCATCAAAGACGCTGTTTCGAACCTTCTTCTGTTGCATTGTATGTTGACCGCCCACCAGTCATGACCAGGCTAACCCTTTTGTCAGGCGGCGGCTCTCTCATTAAAGTTCCTTGACCCATACGGCACAAAAAAGATTGTACTTTTCGAGGTGCGATACCACTTGGACTGGAAATTCTTCGAGCTGGCCACTTTCATCTTCACTGGCGCCATCGGCGGTGTGTTGGGTGCCCTTTTTATCAAAGCATCTCGAATCTGGGCACGCACATTCCGTCGCATACCCATCATCAAGAAGCATCCGCTGCTCGAAGTGTTCCTAGTTGCGCTCGTAACCGGTCTTGTCAGCTTCTGGAATCGGTACACTAAGCTCCCCGTTACTGAGCTTCTTTTCGAGCTGGCCAGCCCCTGCGATACTTACACCGAAGCTGGGGATGGTCTATGCCCGACGCTTGAGCACATCCCTGGAGTGCTGAGGCTTCTCTTCTTCGCATTCGTCATCAAGGCTGGCTTGACTGTTGTCACGTTTGGAATCAAGGTTCCCGCCGGTATCTACGTACCTTCCATGGTTGTCGGTGGTCTTGCTGGACGCTTCATTGGCCACACCGTTCAGCTAGTTGCTCTGCGCTTCAGTCACCTTGGAATCTTCAGCGAGTGCTCGCCCGACGGCCCCCCTGGCTCGTGTGTTGTTCCAGGTGTCTATGCCCTGGTGGCAGCTGGAGCAACCATGACTGGCGTTACCCGCCTTAGCATCACGCTAGCTGTTATTCTGTTCGAACTTACGGGAAGCTTGGACCATGTCATGCCCTTTTCTCTGGGTATTCTTGTTGCCAAGTGGGTGGCGGATGCCATTGAGCCACTCAGCATTTACGACCTCCTAACGGATATGAACTCTTACCCTTTCCTTGACAACAAGGTCCGACCAATCTTCACCTCGGAACTCGGCGACATCACTCCTGCAACAAGAGATGACCACGTCATCGACATCTCCGAAGACTCTCTGATCCCTGCAGTCGAACTTCGCGCGAAGCAGCGCGCGTTGCAGATGGCAGGAGAGCTCGACGGAGGCCTGTCGATTGTCAAGAACGGCACTCTGGTTGGACTCATCCCTGCACCTGATCTAGAGTTTGCTCTCGACAAGCTCGAAAATGAAGAAAACACTCTCTGCCTAATGTCCCCGCGGGTAGACTGGGCAGCAGGACGCGAGCCGCATGACGAGGAGGAAGAAGAAGCCTACGACCCCAGTGACTTTACACCGTACATTGACCCTGCACCAGTGGCGTTGGATGTTCATTCTCCAATGGACCTAGTGTATGAATGCTTTGTCAAACTTGGATTGCGTTATATTTGCGTGCTCAGAGATGGCAAATATGCCGGCCTGGTAAGTTATTCATTGAGAAAAAAACCTAAATAGACTGGTACTGACTCGAATCTAGGTTCACAAAAAGACTTTTGTCAAGTATGTAAAAGAGCTCGAGGAGCAAGAAAAGAAAACGCGACACGCCTAAGTCTTGTGCTTGATAAACTTTTGTTTTTTTCATTTCTTCTTGCCTTGTTTTCATACCCTCCCTAAAATTTAGTCGACTTGTTCAATTCTAAAATACACGAGCGATATTCGCGGATTGTTGCATCTGAAATGGCGTTGGATGTTGGCTTCTTTTGACGCGGACGTAGGAGTAAAACAGGCGTTAGATACGCTCTTCAATTCTAACACACCGAACCAGGTTACATGCCTGTTTTAGGGCCATCGTTTCTTGGCAAGGAACGTCTCCGAGGCTACCAAACTACATTCGCCGTGATTCTGTCCATTGCTCAAATGACGTATGATCTTTTCAAGAACAGGCTGAACGAAAAAATTCAACAAAGGGGGGGCATTTGGATATTGTCGAACAAGGCGATGCGATGTATCAAAAGAAACATGGCTCCAAAAATTCGACATCAAATCACTACACTGAGCACTCTGCTATTCGCACAATGGGGCAGCATAGTAATCACCACCTCAATGGTTTTGGAGGAATCTTCATGTGAAACAAAGCATATATGTACCGGGTGCATTGCATGTTCTGACATGGAAAATACGTTGGTAACGTCCAAGGGATAAGGGTTGCGTTATAGACATCCGTGGATTGTGCTGATGCATTCTCAGTAGCTTGCTTATCGCCGTGCTTGGTGCGTCGAGCCATGTGTCTCGTCTTATGCATGCACGTAGCATGCCGGTCCTGCAATGGCGGGTGACTTGGCTCTTTTTGGCCTGGAGCTGGGTAGGGGTCGGTGCTTGAGGCCCCACCCATCCGTTTTTTTCCTTCTCGTGTACAAGGCTTTTGCACCGTCAAAGGGCAGCAGATCTTGATCCAATAAATTTATATTATCTTCGAATCAGCGTCTCTCCAAATCAGCCTTCCTAGCTCAGTGGTAGAGCGCGTCACTAGTAATGACGAGGTCGTCAGTTCAATTCTGGCGGAAGGCATCTTTTTTGCCCACAGATTTTGCTTGATTGTACACGAGGCACTGTGTGGCGGACAATGATTTTTCTGGATCGAGAAGGGGTGCATGCTAATCTCGTCAGTCTTGTTTTATCGCAACTCTGATCAAGGGTCAACAATGCATGCAGTCACGAACCGGGCTCAAGTTTCCTTTTGCCGATTTGTATGTCTGTTCGCTGGAGTGATGTTTAAAGGATGAATAGTATACTATATAGCTCTCTATAATGGAGCCCCGGCATCTATGAACATTTCTATGCTTTCTTCCACGAGAGATTCGGAACCAATTCAGTTGTAGTACATGTTTGTTAAAATACACATAAAGGGAATAGAGGGATACGGATTTGTTGGCGTGCTACTGTCATGCACGGACACGAGATTCGTCTAGTCCCTCTCCGAAGATACAGCCCTAGTGCCAACGCCCGCATCTAGGCCCAGGGACTCTTGTGTAGTGTTTCCTGTACAAGGGGTAGTCTTTTCCTTGTCCTTGTTATTGTCGCACGTTATGGCGTTTTCGGGGTCATGTGGTGACTGTGTCGCGTCTCTGTCCTTGTTTCGAAAAAGAATGTAGAATATGACGGTAGTGGCTGCCATGCCTCCAGCCAGGCAAGAGTAGAATATCACAAGATAGGGGTCGTGCGCTGCTTCGGCAATGAGCATGGCACAGACAGAGCCGACGCCAGTGATGAGCATGTTGATAGCCTGCACAAAAACCTTCATGTCGTGAGGAGCATGGCGCTCTGCGTATTCCATGGCCGTAGTCATGGCAAAGACCTCGCCTGCAGCCATAAGCACGAATACCGGTGTCTGGATCCAAATGTTGGGCCGGTGTTGGGAAGCACCCGGGTTGTTCTCGCAGTGGGATGGGTGGCTGAAGCAGGGCGGAGACATGTAGATGAAATGCTGCACAACGGCTGCATACGCCATCGAAAGCGAAATGAAGATGAAGCCAATCGCAATGCGAGTAACGGGTCGGAGGTAAATGCGCCGCTTCGACAGTGCAGGGTCGACCACGTATTCCACCAAGGGGCTGACTATTATGCAGGCCACCTGATTCATGCTGGGAACAACTTCATTGGGCGTTTTTCCCTTATTCATGTGTCCAGCTTGAGAGATGAGATTGTTCTGCATTTGATCAAAGCAAATGTAGAAGACGACAAATGCCAAGCTTTCAGAGTGTCAGCGGCTGAACATTGACCGGATGGCATGATACTCACAGGACCCTGCAAGCGCCCAGTGCGCGGGTGATTTCGACGACAAACTGGCTGCTCCAAGCCACCGCTTTCTTACCATGGACGGACCGGTAATGGGGATCTGCATGCTCCATATTGAATCCACTGCGCGCAGCACAAAGCAGAACCTTGGCAGCTGGTAGCGTCACATTTTGTGAAAGCGGGGGTTTTACTATAGAGTCAGCATGGTGTTCACGTCAAGTGTGCGAATGATCCTACCAAAGGATTTCCTGCCGGCGATGATCATGAGAAGAGCCATGGATACGCAGCCGAGGCCGAGAAGATATGCGGGAAAGAAACCATGAAATCTCTCAATACAGACAATAGGGAACACGAGCAAGGCGCCTACGTTGCCTACCCAGAACAACAAGGTGTAAATGAACTTGAGCGTAAGCTCGGGGTCGACTAGAACCACTTCTTCTGTTGCAGCAGGTGGAAGCCACTTGGAGAAGCTAGTGTGTTCTAGTCGTTTTCTGGTGTTTGTACAAAATCGGCTCTGCGACGGCAGACGCTTCTGAAGTCGAGGCGTCCTATCCGTGTACTGGGCGGCAATGAAGGATCTAATGGTGGCTTGCGACTGGTGAGATCAGCATTCATAGCAAGCACGTGGTGGCAACTGTACTTACACATCCGCCTCCTAGGGCTATCAAGAACATTGCCACAGCAAGGCCCGGCAATCCGGATCCGCGGTCGAGCAATTTCGGCGCCGAACTGGCGACGAGAGCAGTGCAACCCAAAGTGTATATTGCCAGACTGGCAACAAGCGTCTTGTACTGGCCGAGACGGCTGTCTATTATGGGGGCAAAGAATATCGGACAGGTGAAGTAGAGGACAAAAAATCCGCAAAAGACACGTGTGGCCGTGGACTGGCCCAGACCGAGGGCGCCTGGTGTCTGCTCCATGGTGTAGTTTCGATTGTTCTCCATGTAGTTCTCTGTGGGATAGCAGTGTCAGTAGGGCCGCGTATCCGAGTTCACTTCATAGGCCTGGGGGTTACCATACGCCAAGGAGCGGCAACTACAGAGAGATGCAAGTCAGTGTCATGTCAAACGGACATTAGGGCCAGACTTACGGCCCCAAAAGGCTGCTCTCTCCCAAAACCCCACGGCTGCTACCATCCAGACCATGGGGGGGATCCTGTCTCGTACGCGGCGCAGATTGCGGACACGATGGCTGTCGGCTTCTGATAGCTCGAGACTCAGTAGCTGCGAGGTGGAACCCTCTGGCACCTGTTGTCTGCATTGGAGGTTAGAGGGTGCAGTGCAGTGCAGTGCAGTGCATGGAGACGAGGCAGTACTCACCCAGTCATGGTTGATGTTGTGTAGCTAGGAAGGTTTGCTGCCTGACTACTGTATGCATCTGCGCTATAAGTATGGGGCGGCTGAAAACTGGTCTAAAAGTGAATGGATAGGTAGCTGCGCAGCGCCCTCTGTATGGTAGACTGTGGGTTGAATATGGGGATCTTGACCATGGGCTCCCAACAAGCCACCGACCCAAAGACGGGCTCTAATCATGATGTATTGATTACCAAGGTGCCGCCCAAGAGTAGATGTATCCATTGCCACGGGATCACGTGGAAATGGTCCTGTGTATAAGAGCAGCATGGCGATTGGGCAACGCAGGCGAGTCGACCGAACCGCAACGGCCAGGGGCAAGCCGCACAAAGAAAGGCCAGACGTAAGCCGCACGAGGAAACTCCAGGACGCACAACCAGAGCAGTAGGGCCATGTCGAATCGAGCCCGCCGTTTGAGTGGGCGTGGTGCACTGTCGAGTATGCTTCAGCTGTTGGCCGTGTTGGCATGCCAAGAGGCGACTAGGCTAAATATAGGCACGCGGCTTTGGCGTCTAGGCGAGGCGAGGCGAGGCGAGCGCATACTTGGTTATTGTATTAGTCTGGAGGCGCAGGGGTTCGCAAAGGGGCCGCAAAAAAGGTGAAGCCGGCTGGCGGTAGCGAAAACAGCGCCATAGTCGGGGGGCTAGGCCAGTGCCAGTGCCAGTGCCAGTGCCGGCTCCGGACCGTGGGGGGGTTGTGGTTGTGCGTACAGTACCGGACATGGGAATATCGAGGTTGCAGGTGATCGTCGGCAAATGGCGGGGCTCCGGGGCAACAGGGAGGAGACGGGGGCCTAGACTGGGGGCATAAAAATGGTGCAATGTCGCCAGCGCCTCCCCCCCATCCATCTTTTCCACCACTCGCCACCTTCTCTCCTCTGCGCCAGCACCCAGCCCTCGCACACTCTCGCTCTCTTCCATCTTGTGCGCCTTGCCCAGACACTGCTGCTGCCTTGCACGCGCCGTCGACCCTCGCAGCCATGTACCATCTGGACGGCAACCCGGCCCCATCCGACCACACGCTTTTCCAGGACCTGCTCAAGATGACGACTTCCAAATGGCAGTCGTTGCTCAAGAAAGACGCCGTCCCAGTCCCAGGCGACGCAAGCACGAGGCCATCCGTGTCAAGAAGCTCCACCCAGCTGTCGGTATCCAAGGCAAAGGAGTCGTAGAGAGCCGGCCATCACACGCGACACGCGCTCATGTCCGCCAACACCGCAATCATATTTTCTTCAAAACACTTCCAAGCACGGCTTCATACGTATGCGCCCGGTGCCCTTGCAACTATAGACTAGGCGTCGTCTGCAGGCAATGCCATCTCTATGACACTCCGCATGTCAAATTCATGCGAGTTTGCCAAAGCCACCGACGACCCTTTGCTGCCCCCTGAACACTGCGCATGCGGATAAAACGAGTATTGCCGCACGCTCGAAGAATCCTATAGCGCATTTCTAGAAGGCAGCATGGCTTTGTGCAAATCGCACTGCTTCATCGACGACTCTTAGCCTTTTCAAAAACGCCAATATCGATAGACAGCTGGCCAACATCTGCTACTTTGCAGTCGTGTACAAGACGATCATTGAGAAAATATTTAGCATCCACATGCGCATATTATCTTGTGGGATTGAAGGAGATGGGTTATTGAGTACTTTGCTCTCACATGTTGTTCACAATGTGTTGAATATAAACTCTTCTTTCTGTTCAACACAACGGCCATCGCATCAACGCGGAGTGGTAGAATAGAGAACATACAATCATACAGGATCGTACCGGCGTTTGCAAAGCTCCAAGTCAGCACCGGTGCAGACAAACTACAAGGGAATTCAGAGGACCAGCGATGCACAGCCCGACTTTACTGTTCTGGTGTCTGGTCAATTTCAAGACAGCAAAACGCTCTAGTACTGGGTTGCGTCTTGGGGCAGCCTAGGCGAGACTGCCGCTTTAATCTCTGCATTCGCGAACCTATCCATCAATTATTGAGAGCCATAGACTTCATTGTATGTAACGCTCTTGATATCGCTTAAACAAGCCTCCCAATAATCATTAATTCGCCAAATCTTTACCTTTCCGTCAACGTACCCTGGCCATGCATCGTGACGTCTCCACGTCTTGGCTCGAGTGGCTGGGCATCCAATAAATCTAGTATGACTGACCCACACCCTCAATCACGCCCTTGTCGGCTGGCCATTGAGATTGCGATTCCCGTCAAGCGCATCGACACCGTCATGGCTCGATCCATGCTCTCAGTTACGCAGGTATGCTTATGTGCCGTGGCCAGGTTAGAGCTGGTACGAGATGTGCATATCAACGTGCTCAGCGTCTCCTTACTCTGTCTCGCGATCCCGACAGCGTCGCACGTGCCGTTCAAAATTGTCTCTTCGCGTAAACTTCTTTTGCGGAATCGTACATCTAGGGTTGGAGCAGTAGAAGGCTTCGACTGCGTACAATTCCTTGTGTACACTGCGCTCGTGCCTCCTCAAGTCCGCCTTGAGTGCAAAGGCCGAGGGGCAGTGCTGGCAGCGATAGCGTCGACGGTGCTTGCGGTTGAGGTGCATACTGCAACTTGATCAGTACGAGGAAAACAAAAAAAAATGCAAATCCGTTTGAGAATTCGGCGCCTCGAAGGAAAAAGAAGAAAAGAAATGTAAACAAAGAGGGCTAAAGCAACACGCAGGCGCACCAGCATAGAAAATATGGTAAAAGACATGGACAAAAACTTACTTCAGCTGTCCCTGCGTCGAGTAGGATGTTCTGCATGTCTCACATTGCAAAGAGCTTGGTGTCTCGATAGGTTGCTTCAGAGCAGAGGTGTTGGCATCGTGTGGCTGGGCGGATACAGTACCCTCCTCCAGACCGGCATCGGACAATTCGCACGACTTTTCGCTGTTGCGAGAGGAACTGGTGTATTCGGTTGGCGAGTCCAAGAAAGTGTCATCCGCAGAAACGCGTGTCGTGCCCTCTGAAGACGACCAAGTTGGCCGTGTCGATGAACTCGTTATTGTCATTACTTGCAAACTCTGTCCACTCCCGGCATCACGACTTGTACTAGGCCCTAAGCCCCGCTTTTGAAGCCATGGAAAAATCACGGGATTGGGAGCATGCTCTGCATCCCACGGGCTGATGCATTGCTCCTCATTGCCTGCCGGAGTGATTCTTTGCCTCGCCCACCCCAGGTGTGCGGGGGCTACAGTCAGTAGCTGAGATGAGCCCTCTGTTTGTGTTGGTCAGTGTACTTCTTTCAGCTTCCAGAAGACGTTAACAAGCCGACGAATCACTCTGAGGCACGATACGTCGTAGGTAAGACGTCTTGTCGATGCCCAAAATCTGATCGGCCGTAATGGCTCTCGCAGGCCTCGCAGTCTTGTATTTTTCCTGTCTTGCCCAAATGGAATCGACAACAGGTCGACATCCATACGGCGGTGGGCTCGCGTCTCCATGTTTCTTGCCTCGCTCTACATCTCGAAACTTTCTGAACGGATCCATCTTCCGTCTCTTGATGCGATCTGCCATCCACACCCAGACCATCGGTGTTGCCAGAGCGACCATGACAGCTATACATATGCCTACAAACATGATGGAACCCTCTTTCTCGCTCCTCGCGTCTCTCGGTACATGTGGCATTTTGGTATTGTCTTCTTGCTGCGACGGCCATATCGGCGCCGGCTGGCGCGATGCCTGGGTAGAAAGCACTGTCCGTGAAACCATGATGGCAGGCAAGGCACACGATCAAATTCACCGTAGGCAGTTTTCTCGAGGCCCGTGTTGCCAGCATCGAAGCTTCTCTTACGACATGGTACTCTGCCTTGCTGTTGCTCGAAGCCAAGGCGATTCGAGGCTGAAGTTGGGAGGCATACATGATTTCAAGACACGACGTAATTGGGTATGCTGATTCGTGGAATGGAGGGGGCTCAACATGCACGAGGCCTTCTAGAGATATTTCATCGAGCGCCATGCCTACCTAGGGTCTGTGGCTTGGATATTAGCCAGTTTGGCCCCCGGATAATCTCGCAACTGCTAGGCTCGTGTGGATTTGCGCACGCTGAATACTCATATTTGGGTTGAGCCTAGGTTGCCATGGCGGCAAAGAAGCAATGAAATGGATGCAGAAAGGCTTGTGTGAAGCTCTTGGGCGTTTCATGTCGGCTCACTGTGTCTGTGTTGCGTTGGTGGTGTTGTACGACGCAACTCGTCGAGAGCAAGGCCTAGCTTTTGCCGACGGGTTGCACAAATCGGATTGGCTATCCAGCGCCAATACTAAATTGACGGCAGTAGCCAGGAGATGCTACACAATTGAAGAGCCCGTATTGCCCAGGAACAAAACTCTAGACTAGAACGTAAGTCGCGAAGGTTGTGAGCAAACATCACATTATGGTGCGCGTGCCTTTGGTGTTAGATGAGAACCACTGAAACATGATTATTACTATGTTACACAACCCAACACAAATTTTCGGGCTATTAACCATACATCTTGTAACCAACGCCCAAGCACCGCCAGATTTAACTCTCGTACAGCTAAGCCAGTCTTTTCAGTTTCCTAATTCTTTCATCACGCTCAGCCTATGAGCCTCCACCCCGTTGGTATTGCCAGATCTCCTGCTTCTTCCCATTTGCATATCCGTTCGTATGTGCCCCTTGGCCATAGTAGGCAGCATATGCCACATTCAGGCTGTCATGATGTTGGCGCGCACGTTGCTTGATGAGACTCCACAAGCTTCGTGTCTTGCTTGACTCCTTGAGCGAAGACTCTGGCTTAGGCGCGTTGGTGGATGCCGAGGCCGACAACAAGACGCACGATTTCAGCTCTTCTGTTGAGTTGCGAGGCGTTGTTGCTGTGGATGCTGACATGGCGAGAGAAATAGAGCGTTCTCGTGTTTGGATTACGCCGGGGTCTGTAGAGTTGATATCTTTAAAAAGGAGGGTAACGGTGCCAAGGTGGATGGTGCAACGTTTGTTTCTTTTGCCACGATGCGCTCTATCAATGCCCAGGATTGTCTCAACAGGAGAGAAAAGAAAGAAAGGGATTTATTCCTTCAGTCAAGTTGACCGGTATTAGGTTGTCCCTGCGTGTAGCCGTGGCGTGCTGCGGCCGTTTTCCGGGTGCGATTGCGTGTGTATTACGATGAGTTCCAAGTACGGTTGTATGATCCGCTGGGCGGGCACCAAACTTTATACATACTTGTCCATCCAGTCCACAGCACCCAAGCGTCCATTGAATCTGGCCATAGAGGCTGGGGCACCTCCCATGACTCCACCAAGCAAAATAACCACGCCTTTCCAGTCCTAACGGCAATTAGGCTCACGCCCAACAAGTGTACGAAGCGAACTTGGGCCGGTGGATATCGGCTGACTCCCACAACGTGCACCGCTTAACCAGTAGCATTCAGGGTGCGCAAGCCACCGCCTTCCGGTTCCGGGTGAGCTGCTGCGCCGACCGACAGTAAAAGCCATGTGAGGTTACCTAGGCTCTGCAGGTAGCCGCTTAAATGACGGCTGCAATGTCCTATAGGCGTGTTGGGATGATGAATAAGTTAGGCGTAAGGCGCGCGCCCTGTCAAGATGCGGTCAAGAAAGATGTGGGGTTAGCCTATGTCGGTCAGCAAAGGCGTGCGCCCTGTACATGTCAAACATGAAACAGTCAACCATAAGTGGGTTCACCTGATGGTTCGAATAGTCAAATCCCGCGCATTACGACTCACCTCTTGGTAAGCCGACTGCTTGGATTTTTGAGTGCATATGTCACGGGGCGGTACCTGGTATCCCAGACCGATGCGAAAGAATCGTGAACGTTTGACTAAGTCATCATTGATCTACATATAGACAGCGTGGTCAGGCCTTGACAATAATCTGCCACGGTAGCGTGTTGTCGAAGAAGAACGTCGCCTTTGGTTGAGCAGTAAGACTTTGATCAGTCATGTTGCAGATTTTGGTAAAGTCGCCAGCCTCAGCACGCTTGCTCTGGATGATTTTCTGGTACTGTGACAACGGGCACGAAGAGCCAGGGCCATCCGTACATCCTACAACTGGGTAGACGACGTCGTTGATTCGAATACGCATGTATGCATCGTCGGAGTTGGTGTCATTGTGGGCATAGTTGTACGTAAGGGTGCTATTGTGCGCAGCCGCCGGGCAAGACAAGCGCTCAAAGGCGACTGTTCCGCGCATCTTGACAATTTGAGAGGAGCGAAACAAGCGGTCAGGCAGCGATATGTTGCCAGGCAATGGGCGCTGACTGTCAAAGACACCAATCATGGCGGCAAGCTGATTGATTTGGCCGTCATTGGCAAAGTTGGCCATGATCTTGGGCGGAGTGAAGGTCGCGTTGCCAGTCTTGTATGTCGCGTCTGGTCCGTCAATGAAGCGCTGCACAGTCATGTCTACGACAGGCAGCATGAGGTATTTTTCAATGTCCGAGCCCAGGCCGTTGCCGTACCAATAGCGCAGGTCTTGGGCATACTCATACTGCAGAAACTCCTCGTCGGTGAAAACATCGCAAAAGGGACTTCGGCGGCCGGTAATTTGGGACTCAAAGCCGCAAAGATAGGGTATCTGGTCGACTTGACTATTGGTGAGATTCAGCCCGCCTTGAATGTGGGCGTTGAGCCTGGCAGCAATGGGTGGAAGATAGATCGAGTCCCAGATGAGCTTCACGGGGCTGCCTTCTTCATCGTCGTAGGCCTTGCAAAGGTCGCTCGGCGCCAGAGAATTGCCCCAACTGGCCGGGTCGCTGGCGTTGAGGGCATAGATGGTTGTCAGGTCTGTGGCGTTGGGTCCCACGAAGCCCTGGGCAAAGAGGCGCGCGCTGTCTCGTACACGGGGGCCGGACTTGTAGTAGTTGGCCCACATGGTGAAGGGCGTGTTGTACTCGTACAGGTCGGGGTAGCGGAGGCGCCAGGTACTGCCCATGTCGTGGAGCTCCTTCCAGCCCGTGGGGCTCAGATTGGCAATCTGCGCCTCGGGCTTGGACAGGACAGGCTTCCACGTCTTGAGAAACGCAAGCTTCTCGTCGGTGAAGGTCAGGTTGGCGGCGGCGGCTTGGATGTATTGGGCAAACTCGACCCAGCCCTTGTAGGCGCCTGGGTCGGGGTACCGCGAGCCATGGCGGGAGAAGAAGGCTGCCAGGTCGACTTTGCATCCCACGGGCACCTCGGACGAGATGGCCGTCGTCTGCTCGCCGGGGAACCACTGCCCACTGGCGCCAATGTGCTGGAAGACGTTGAAGTCGCCGTGGGCGGCCAGTGCCGCGCTGGTGGCTGTGAGGGCAAGCGCAAGGAGCCTCATTGCTGGTGGCGGGAGTGGTGGTTACAGGCAGAGGGGGGCGCGCCCCACTGCCTACTTATATGGCCATGGGCGGGCGGCATCGTGGTGGGCGAGGTTGTTCAGTTGATGGGCCTGCGTTAGTGTCGGAGATGAGGGCAAGGCGATGCTTCCCAAGGCGGCAACCATGTCCAGGCACTCGTCTGCACGTGGGGGCAGGCACCGCCGCTGGCTGGGCTGCGGGCGCTGGGGCGGGCCGGCGTGATGGAATCCTTTTGGCGGCGTGGTCGGCGATGGTGTGCGTTTCTCTCTCTCTCTCTCTCTCGCTTTTTTTTCGGATGCCATGCATGCCGCTGATGGCGGCTCGATGCTGTCGCTGTTGCTGTTGCTGCTGCTGCTGCTGCTGCTGCTGCTGTCACGGTGGCTGGACGTGCGGCGGCAACAACGGTCGCCGCCATGGCAACGCCGGTACCGGCATGGCGCCGCTTAGTCAGCCGGCCGCTTATCGATACTGCACCCGCCTCCAGTCCAGGCTGACTCGCCGCCATCCAGCAGACTCGCCCAAACGTATGCACAGCAATGCACGCCTGCACGTCTTCTCGGTGACTATCCGAAACAAGCCCTTCACCCTCCTTCGCCCCGTCCGACCATGGCTGAGCCCAAGCCGCGCCAGCGCAAGTTTGCGCCCCGGTCACGCACAGGCTGCTTGACCTGTCGAACCCGGCGCAAGCGCTGCGATAACGCGCAGCCTCAGTGCGCCAACTGCGCACGACTCAACCTCAAGTGCGAATGGCAGCCTCTACGCAAAATCGTCTCCGACTCGCCCTCGCCCTCGCCCGCTCCTCTTGCCCGCTCGCAAAGCCCGCCACGCCTCGACGTCGCACTCCCGCTGCGCGCTTCGCTCGATCCGTGGGATGCCCTGCCCGGCGACCCAGGCGCAGAGCGCATGCATCTGCTGCAGTACTACGTAGAAGCCTTTGTGCCCAGTGTCCAGGTAGCCCCCATCCCCACCAGCTTCTACACCAGTCTCTACATGCCATGGTCCTTCCACATCCAGGGCATGCTCGATGCCATTCTCGCAATCTCCTCGGCCCAGCTGGCACGACGCACCCACGACGCAGACCGTGCTAACCATCTTCGAGCCGTCTCGGCGCGCCATGAGAAAAAGTGCTACGACTTCATCCGAGAGCGCCTGTCTCCTGCTGGCGGCCTGCCCCACGACACGTACCAGGTCGCTGCCGTCATCTTGCTCCTGGTTGGCCTCGAGGCGCTCAATGGAGTAAAGACGACCAGATGGATCTCTCAGCTGAAGAGCGTCCAGCGCATTCTGGCCTCGCTCTCGCCAGAGCAGACCATCATGGACTGTGTCGAGGTCGACTCTCTGCAGCGCCACTTCACATACCACTTTGCCTCGGCCTCGCTCATGGCACGTGTGTCCAACGCCGGAAAGGCCTCTTCACCCGACCACGGCCTGCTCTCCATGACGGCCGCTCTGGTCCCTGGCACCATCGATCCTCTCATGGGTATCTCATACCAGCTTTGCGATCTCATCTGCCGAATCCAGTATATTACCACTGCCAATCCCGCCTTCCCACTCGCAACAGAGGCATCATTCCATGTCATTGAACAAGGCATACAGCAGTGGAATTACGACAACCCATTTGCCTTGGGTGTCGACACCCCCATAGCCCTTGACCTAATCGCTCTGGCAGAAGCTTATCGTCTTGCCGCCCTCATCCAACTTTATCGCACTTCGCCCAGCCATTCCACCCTCATCCCGGCCTGCGCATCGCGTACTATGGATTTCATTGCTCGTATACCACCAGGAAGTGCCGCCGAATCCAGTCTACTCTACCCAATCTTCCTTGCCGGTGCAGAATTGGAAGACGAAACAGCCATTGAGCAGTGTTTCAAAAGACTGGAAGGAATCCAGAAACGCAATCTCTACGAGAATGTCGAGTGTGTGCAGAAAGTTCTCAAGGAAGTTTGGCGACCAAAATTTCAAGGTGGACGGAGGAGAGACTGGGAAGACGTGGTAAGAGAGTGGAATTGGTCATTCACTCTGGGATGACCTACTTGGCACTGCATTGCTCTCACTGTTCTGATGTCTTTGTCAAGAGTCGTTGCTGTATGAGCGTTGCAGGTGCACCATCAATTACCTCGACGGCAATACTAACACTTTTTGTCACGCATGAGCCTTTCAAGCTATACTAACACTCGGCTGCATTTAACTCTCCCTAGGAATACCCGTTTTATGCTACTGCATCATATCCTATCATCATCACACTGTTATAGTATATATGAATAGTCGTGCATAAAGGAATATCCTTCTATAGGCCTACAAAAGACTTTACCGCCAAATCACAATCGTAGAAGCACTTGGATGTAACTCTGTAGCCGCCTTCTCTGGCGACATTTTATGGTGGATCTCATGCATGATGCCTTGGAAAGCAGTATGGGTGTACTGCTCACCTGCCAACTGGTACTATTTAGACTCTAGACGACATGTTGATTTCAAATCAAAAACACCCGTCCTTGTATTTATTCTCCAACGTCTGATTTATATTCTAACACTGTCACACTACACTTCTTAAGCCAACTATCAAGACCTTCTTGTATCCAAGACCTCGTAGCCACAAAATGACTATCAAACTACTGTACGGACTTCGACAGAGCGATGAACAATCCCTGGAAAGTTTTCAAATTTATTGGAGAGAAATTCATGGACCATTGGTGGCATCGTTCCAGACAGTACTTAAGATGACCAAATATGTCCAAACCCATCGCACCCCCGGAGAGGTGGATGAAAGCGTACGAGCGTTACGTCGTGGCCTTATCACCAAAGAGCCCGTCTACAACATTGTGGATCACTATTGGTTCGAAGGCTCTGCGAGCGATGTGGTCGAACGTTTCAGATCAGAACAAGGTCAAAATGCTTGGAATACGATCATTCAGTCTGAACAAAAGTATATCGACTTTGGAAAGTCTACCCTCTTCTTCATTCAGCCCAGGCTGATCATCCCACCACGCGAGCCGCGTCTACATGCCTCATCAGGTAGCACCATATACGTCTGCAACGCCTTTCCCGAATTTCTGAATCAAGAAGCTTATGATCATTGGTATGATTGTCATGCACCCATCACCCAAAGGCTGGCCGGCGCTATGTTTTTTGCCAAGTACATCCAGGACCACCCGCGAGAGGCACCATTTATCAAAGAGATGAGAGCCCAGAGGCGGATTAAACTGGAATCAAAGTATGATTTCTGCAGCATAATGCATTTCGAAACCGGGACCACCAATGATGCCGCATTCCAAGCAGCTGTGACAGAGACCAGGACCGATGAAGATAAGGGCTGGCAGGTTCCAGGTTGTATGAATGTATTTATGGGAAAAGAATACTTTATTATAGACATACATAGGATGAGCTACTAGATCATAAAACATCCTATACTAAGCTAGAAATGTTCGTATTGTGTAAGGATATGACATACTTTATGAACATAACATGTCCAATGAATTGATCAGGATAATTGAGTATCTCTCGGTTTATAATGTCACAGTCTATGTAATAGATTATGTTGTCAAACATGACTATACTGCATTGGATAATATAGTAAGTTGTATGGTTTTTATGACAGTATGTATAACATGAGATAATTTGATAGTAAAGGATGAACAAAGTTGGTATCTCTATTTTGGGAATAGAGATACTTGATATTAGATATCACAAGGCTAATGAGCACAATTACTCGCTGTAAGGAACTAGCGTCATTTGTCTATCACACTCGTGCCTTGCCGAATTTCGTCAACTGTCGTTTAGCTTCTACAAACCCTACCCTCTTTGCTTCCTTGCCTCCCTCTCTATCGTGATGATGACCCATCTAGCCTATCATATTTCTGCGTCCCTATGCACTCAGCTTGATCTCAGCGCTCATAATGAACCAAACCGCATACTCTTTGGTAATCGAGCAACCGATGAAGGGTATGAAGAACACTTGCAACGCGTTTCTCAGATCTTGCTTGATCCGAGAAACGGTAAGTGCGCATTCATTCCCACCCTGACTTTTTGTTCAAACACCAATCGCCATTTGCAGAGAGATCCTTTAACACCTTACACCAACGTCTTCCTTTTAATTGGTACAGTGACGGAAAATACGACAGGGTCAACTCTTATGGAGATGCTCGACAGTATCAGTATCATCCCCTCCGGACCTTCGATACTCGAGATGATGTGTTGCGTTACAAAAGTGCGAACAGTTGCAATCAAATACCATTTGGTCTTGTCCGAGAGCGTGCTGTGAGCCTAGCTGATATGAAACCATGTAGCGGTCTTATTCGAGTACCGTCGCAATATAAAATAGATTTGTATATGCCTTGTTGAAAACCCGATGTCGAAGTCGACGACAGAATGCGTGGATTTGCACATGGCCTGCTCCGGGATAATTGCATCACTTCACGAGTACTTTCCCGAGCTATAATCTGGCTTTCGACGCTGAATTTCGGCATCCACGAAAACACAGGAGGACACGGTCAGCGGGGCGTACATGCATGGATTATACAGTTACCCGCCTGTGAGCCGCTCGAGGCTGATATCGTGCGCATTGGAAATGCCTGGGTCGTCCTGTGCCAAGATATCCGAAACGGGCTGTCAACAGTTCAACAGCACGCAGCGTCGCGGAAAATTGGGATGACTGAGAATCATATCAGGATGGCATCTAGGGAAGCGCATGCAAATTACATGATGCTGTCAGTAAAACACATCATGCTTTGCCATGCTAGCGATTAGGCTTCGCTCAAACACACTGGTCCAGAGCCGCTTTTTGATGGTAGTTGTGCCACCAGATCTCCCTCGGACCTTGCGCACGATTATCTCATCTGGGCGACCGTCACTGCTAGAACTTCGATTGCTACCACTATTCAATCCCTACCCATTGAAATCCAGAATCAAATACTCAACTACTCATTCGTGGGAACAGTACAAGCTCCTAGATATGGCTGAATGCTTGGCTTACGATCCCTATTCTCGTGAAAAGACGGTTCCTTAACTGTGACATCAGAGGAATGATCCGTAATTCGGCCCTGGGGATCCTCTGTGGAGTACTAGATCTGTTTCGGTGAACACAAGAGCAGAACATCCTACTTAGCACAAGTAGAATGATGATATTGACATAGCTTTCCGTTTGTAACTGTTTCTTCACCATTCCACTATCATCCTGTGTATAGACAGATTAGTCACAGAAATTAGAGTAGCTGATGCTTCATGTTCCCGCCATGTTTGTGACAGCGTTGACGTCATTACGTATATGTAGCCCGCCGCTTCATACTTACTGCAAGTACCGCTCGCTTGGTGATTTAGAGGAAGAGTAGCGAAGGTGAAGAGAACTGTTACAGCACATAGGAGGAATGTGTCTGGTATGTCCTCGTATGTCTCGTTGCTTCATTGACTCTCGACCGTATATCTTTACATCATTTGTTACAGCCCTTGATAGATTTTCAGTCGTTTCAGGGGGATACTATCATCCAAGAATACATGGTTTGCATGAGAATATTTTACCATTGGCTTGTGCTATCAGCAATGTGGCGCATCTTCGTACCGCAGTCGAAAAAACAATAGCCGACCCAATGACCTCAAACGTCTTTAATAAGGAATGGAACCACAGTGCATATACCCATTATTGGTAGGAGGTGAGCAACAGTGCGCAACAAGAGTGCCACCATGATTGTCTGCGCCTGGCCAACAACCGTGATCAGGATCAAAACATGGGAAGTTCTATTGATTTGATTAACCTGAAGAATGTAGAGAGCATCCTGCACAAACTTACACCACTACATCTCTGTGTTGCAACTATGTTTCCATTTACCCAATGATTGCAAACACCACTGCCTGACAAGGCTCCGTTCGGCGCTCGTGGATTATTACCACAAGTCTAATTGGTAATCAGTCCTGGCGTGATTTGAACTCAATGTTGCAAGGTGTAACTTACCCAATGATCAGTGGCAAGAGCAAAGGGAAAGATTGCTATAGGAAATAATATCGTTACGTTGATATGGAATATCCTATCACTCTATCCTAATACGAAACAGTACCTCTATCTCTATGATATAACACTTTCTTGATATCTTGATATCGTAAGTCATTGTAGATTTTATGGGAACGCGAAAGAAAAGGAAAACAATAGATAATAGACTTATACAACCCTAATTCTAGATCTAAAGTGGGTTAAGAGGTAGTGGTGAAGGGATAGAAATGTCAGCTTACCCAAAACCTAGCTTCCCCCTTATTCTATACCACGCTCGTTATTATACTCTAACCCTAGGGAGGAGACTAGCGAATAGGTCTCCACCTTAGGATCTCTTTTTAGTATCTTAAATAAAACTATAAGCTCCTTTTCTTACTTAAAGAACTACAAGAAAATAGGTAAATTACAAAAAACTATATTTTAAATAAAAGATTTTTATTTAAAATAACGTGGTTCACAAGTAAGTCGCTAACCCAAGCGAGTCGCTAACGCCCCACCACTACATCTACATCAGCACGTTATCACAGTTTTTTATCACAGTCAATAACCTATTGCGATACACCGAATTAATTGTTAGAATCGCTACTATTACTTGCACTATCTATCTCAACTACGCAGGTACGAGCGTTGTGTCTAGTCTGCTTGCAACGCCCGCACCGCCGCTCTCCTCGCACCTTCTTCGACGCACTCTCACCATCACCACAACTGCTACCCGCCTGTTCAGCTAATACTTCTTGTACTTCGCCTACAGTAAGAGTCTCTTCTGTCCGTACGTATCGCCGCTTGCGGCTTTTACGCTTATTTAACTCGTCAAGAGCCGCTCAAAGCGTACCCATTTCCTCCATCATAAGCGTCATTTTATGTGCCATTTGCTGGGCCCCCTTACTTAGCTGCGCGATCTGCTTAGTGAGTGAATTGGCAGAAGACCTACGGCGTTTTCTCACGCTCTCTTGAATAAGACCAATTTGAGACTCAACTTCGCGCGCGTTGGGTGGTGTCTGCGCCTGCCAGGCGGCTACCTGTTGCGGTGATTGTACAGGTGTCTGCACCACCACATCAAGCTTAGATAGCACAGCCTGTGGGTCGTGTGGGACTAGACCAGCGCCTCTAAAGCCAGCTTGGATATTCTCCTTCGTGATAGACTGCTCAAAAGCAGCCTTAAAGGCTGGTAGGAAGGTTTCCTTGCTAATATAGTGGGTACGGTTGCGTGCTAAGCCTGAAACAGCGTCGCCATACTTGCGCTTCAACGGCGAGAAGCAGGCGACGTCAAGGGGCTGCAACAGGTGAGATGAGTGCGCAGGCATGCAGAGAAGCACAATATTCTTCTCCTTGCAAAGATCTCAGAAATCGACAGAGCAGTGGCTCTTATGGCCATTAATAATAAGCAGTCAATACCCACCCACAGTAGAGCTCTTTGTATGGGTATCAAAGTGCTCTAACTAGGCAAGACTAAGCTAATTATTCGTCTAGCTATTAGGACTGACTTCAAGAACCCAGTCGGTAGGCAAATCCTTAAACTAGACGTTGATAAGCACCTTGCCCGCAAAGACAACGAAGGGTGGTATTCGGCGACCCAACGCGCCCACGCCTTGGATCACAGTAACCCACTCACGGTTGCCTAGCTGTATCCGCTTCTTTTTCCTATATCCTTCTAATGCTGTGATAACTAACTGTAATAAAATCTTGCCTATCATAAAGCTAGTCTCGTTAAAGTTGTAGATATCGTTGTCCACAATACCCCACTTCTGCCTTGTCGCCTAGACTAAGTCGAACTAGCGCTGGATAGCCACTGGATCCTCGCAGGCGGCTCGCTGGTGATTATAGGGACGGCTCTAGCGCGTACAGAGCTCAGGAGTCCGCTTAACGAAGTTGTTAACCTAGTTCTTGCCAACAGGGTTGCCACCACGCTCCTCTAATAGTTTATCAGCCATTACTCGAACGCTAAGCTTTGTAGGCGCAAATCCTCGCGCAGACTCTTTAAGAATACGCTTAACTATAGCCTCCTCTTCTAGCTTATCTAGACGCTTCGATTTCGGCTCGCAGTCGCGTTAAGGGCGCTTTCTAGCGCGTTGATCAGATAGAGTTCTTTATAGGACGTTGTAGATAGTAGTAGCACAGTTTACACTCTAAACACGTTGCAACTAGACGTTAAAAAGAGTAAGTTGAAGATTAGATTTAGAATATATTAATAGACGGTTGCGTTGTTGAGACATCACGCGTTATAGTGATGAAGTTGATGGGCTGGTGGGGCGTTAGCGACTCGCTTGGGTTAGCGACTCACTTGTGAACCACGTTATCAATTATTGATTTTTCCTCTAAACTTTACTACTAATTTACGTTCTTTTAAGAGAGTAAGTGGTGCATAGATAGTATAAGTATTATATTAACCCTATACCTTAGCACACTATGAATTACCTTATTGGACCTAGTATTAGGAGAGGCACTAAAGAAAAAGTAGCGTGGCTAGTAGGTCTCCACCTTGGGATCTCCTTTTTGATAATAGCTCTCCTAATGCTAGACCTATTTAGTTAATAGATACCTTATTTTATAGCTATAATATAGATCTATAACTTACTAATATATAGTAGTACGCTAGCTATAATAGGTAGTAAGTTATATCTCTTTAGGCTATTATATAGAGACCTAAGTCTTAGTAAGGTAGGTAGACTAAAAACTTATTACTAATTATAGCTAGTGTGCTACTCTATATTAGTTAGTTATAGATGTATATTATAGCTATAAGATAAGCTATCTATTACCTAAAAAGGTTGAGTATTAGGAGAGCTATTTGTAACGGGTCGAGTCCTATTAGACTGCGCACGCAACTACAACGCGCCCACCGCGCCAAAAAGGCTGGCACAAGATATCAGAGCTGCTGATATCGTTGCGTAGTTGATACATAAGATAGCCACCGCTATCTGTACTGTAGCGGGCTACCTAGCCCGTTACACTATTATAGAAAAAGAGATCCTAAGATGGAGACTTATTCGCCACGCTAAGAAAAAAATGCTCTAGTTCAATTTCCAAGGCAAATTTCTAGTCAATCGCGAAAGAGAGATAGTATCACTTCTAATAGAGATTAACAAACTTAAATAGGCTCCTATTATCTACTAGATATATTAATAGATAGAATAAATAGAGTATATAATCTATTACTTAGCTCTTAGTAGCTAAAGCCTTAGTACTCCTAAACGCTAAAACTACTAAGTAATTCTATTTTTAGTTAGATTTTTGCCTAATCTAATAGCTTTAACTTAATAAGCACCTCTTAAAGAGTTATATAATAACTACTTAACTACTACTACTTCCTCTTATTACTACTATTAAGTTTTTTTTTATTTAAGCTCATTATAGACTACTTTAATAAGTGGTAACCTATTAGGGTTATAGAGTAACTCTACTTATATAGTATTAACTAGAAGTATAATTATCTTACCTCTTATATCTATCTATGGATTTATATCAGTAAAGCGCGTTATATCTTCTCTTCTGTCTAATAAGCTAGTCTATCTTCTCTAGTATCTCTAATAAGTAGCTACTTATTAGAGATATAAGTATATCAAAGATACTAGCAATTACGCAATAGCTATATATAGCATTTAGCTTAAGTAACTTTAAATAAGTAATAGCCTATTAAAGCTGCGTAGTAGGTGTATGATGACTACTATAATCGAGCTTTAAGATATAGGTGCTTTTTAATGCTCTGGTAGTTATTCTAATTTTAGTTTTAAATATATTACTACTATTACGCTATTCGTTAGTATATTGACTTAGAATTCTATAGTATCTTTCTTCTACTCTACTATACTCTATACGTAACTAACTAACTAACTAACTAACTAACTAACTAACTAACTAATTAACTAATTAACTAACTAACTAACTAACTAACTAACTAACTAACTAACTAACTAACTAACTAACTAACTAACTAACTAACTAACTAACTAACTAACTAACTAACTAACTAACTAACTAACTAACTAAGCAACTAGTTCATATCTAAATAGACACTATTTACTCTAGTCATAATATTATCTACTTTAATAAGTAGTGAGAGTCTAGATTTATATTTATTTATAATACTAAGCCTTCTTAGTAATACTAACTTTTACTCTTATTTATATATTTAGTAAAAGGTCTACTTTAACAAAAGTAGCTAAGAATGTGTATCACTAAGTTGAGAATACTAAGTAGTCTTTTTACCATATATAATTATTAATGCTAGCTAAAATTAAATATAACAATAATAGGGGTAAAGCTTTTCACTACTTAAATATATAAATATAGTATAGCAAAAGAATTACTAAGTTGCTATACTAAAGGGAATAAACGATAAAGTAGAGAAGTAGTAGTTATGTATAATAGATAGTGTTAAGAAAGAGTTTCTTAAGAAGAGATAGAAGAAGAAGAGTATTACACAGATATAGATAGTGTTAAGGTTATAGAGACTAGCCTATAGCTATTCTAATATTGCGCTATAGACTTCTATAGCTACTAGCGCTACGTTGAATAGAGAGTAGTATAATTATCAGGTTTTTAGATTTTAGGCTCTTACGTTCCAAGTAATTGAATTTTAAATTATATAGTAGTAGTAGGTTATAATAGTAGTAAAGTAGTAGTAGTAAGTAACCTGCATAAGCTTCTTTCTAACGTGTAGAATATTACTCCTTTTATAATATATCTTTTTTACTACTTATACTATAGAGGTGTAGTGTGGAACTGCGATGTCTTCTTAGTAGAGGGAACAGAACTATAGGCTCTTCCCCTCCCTATAGACGCATTAGGGGATGGGAGAGAGTAAAATATAAGTAGTTAGTTCTTTAAGTAAGAGATTTTTCTAAGAAACATTATTAATTATCTTTTCTTATGGACTTAACTACTAATTTATATTCTTTCTTAAAAGTAAGTAGTACTTAGTTGATATAAGAGTTATAGTAACCTTATGCCTCAGTATAAACCTTCTAAGCTTAAAAGCTTTGCCCTATTAAGCTTACCTTTACTGCATACTAAATATCCTTCTTTAAAGTACTCTTTAGTCCTTTCTTAGTTATAATTTATTAACTACCTTTATTTATCTTATTTTTTGTATATAGCTATCTCATCTTCTTTGTAGGCTTCTATTTAGATACTAGGTTCTCTATTTCTAACTTAGCGTCTATAGCTTACTTTTATAGTTCTTTTTGGAGTTAACTACTACGCCTTAGTTATATACTCAGGCTAGTAACTCAGCGTAATAAAGAGAGAAAGTACAGTAATTATAGTAGTAATAATAAACCAGAACTAATACTAAAGCTATAATAGCGCCAACCTAGTATACTAAGAGGCAAATTATAAGTTAGAAAAAAATAACTTTCTAGACTAAGAGATTAAGAGGCCTAAAGCCTACGTAGCTAAGTTCTCATTGAGTTCTAGCGTAAGTTTTATCTATAAGCAGCTAACTATATTAGCTTTAGAGGAGTTGTTATCTTATTTAAACTAGTCTTTCACTTTATCTCGATATACTTTATTATTCACAAAGAATAATTAACTTAGTATGCTTTTTATGAAGTTTGTATAAAAAGTATCATATTCTAGCTTTATAATTGATAGTAGTAGGCGTTTTAGCTATATGATTATAGCATTTCTAGTATTTAGAATAAAGTTGTAGATTAACTTTACGATTCTATTTATAATCTTCGCTTAAAACTTTTCTTATACTGGTAGATCATTTCAACAAGCTTATCTAACTAAGGCTTTTTAGATATAAGAATTAAAGTTAAACTTCAAGTTAGCTATAAAAGCCTATTTAATCTTACTATACTTATCTAAGTAGCTAAATAGAAAGCTTAGAAGTGCTATAAGCGTTTAATAAGCTTTAAGAAGATCTTTATAAGTTCTTATAGCTAGTACTTCTATTATACTAATACGTATAGTTATATACTAAAGTAGAATTATATGATAGTTCTTAGTAGCTAGCTCTATGGAGCTATATAAGAGTAGAAGGTTAGTAATATAGGCTTCTCCTTTTTGATAAGGTGTGCGTCTCTATTATACTTTAGAAAACTATTTCTTAAGCTCTTTAGGCTCGTTAATTACATCCTTTTAACTTTAGATTTCCATACTAGCTTTTTTTATACCTCTATCTTTTCTCTACTCTATATACTTTTGAATATACGTATAGAAGCCTTCTATTACTAAGGTATAGTTCTTATTATCTTTATCATCTACTAAGACGCTTCTTTAGATTATATCTCCTCCTAAGTCTTCTCATATAGCTTATGTTAGGTTTAAGTTAATATAAGTAAATACTATCTTATTACTAAGCTTTACAAACTTAGTATAGTATAGGTATAAGACTAAAGTATACTTTTAGCGTAGTCCTACGTATAAGAGCTAGTACTTAATATTAGCATAGATGATCTATTAGACTAGCGATTAGTATATTACACAAAACTATCCTAAGTTCTCTTATTCCCAGACATAGCGCTAGTAGTAGTTATATATTATAAAGCTTTTTTTAATTAATAGCTTAATACCCCTCCTCTTATAGCTATATAAAGCTCTTAACTATAATAAAACCTTCCTCTTCATATTACTTATAGAGTAAGTTCTATCTTATTATTTCACTAATTTTCTGTAAGTCGAGCTTATTGAAATATGCGTAAGGCTTAGGATAGTAGTAGTAGCTAGCTAGGTTGTTATTTGATAAGTATTTGTAGTAGTGCTTAAGGAAGAGACTACTTATAAGAAGATCTAACTTAATTTTCTTTTATTATAGCTTAAGTATATAGAGAGCTAAAAGTGTCTAAACTATTAGATCTTAGTTAAGATTATTAGTAATAAGGCTTATACCTTCAGTAGTACTAATAGTATAAGTATAGTATATATAAACTATCTAGACGTTTTCTTCTTAAGTGTAGTATTTTTATTATTACGTATTATGAAAGATAACTCTTTTTAAGTTTATTAGAGGTTTATAGTAACTTATAGCTTAGCGTATAAAGAAGAAGGAAAGTACCTCAAACTTACATAGCCTAGATTTTAGTAATATAAGGTACTAGATAAGAATACTTAATAAGTTTTAGAAACTAACTAAAATACTAAGTAACGTATTCCATCACCGAGCGGGCCACATCACCGAGTGTGCCACTTTTTCTTGGCATCACGAACTTCACGTACGAAAGATAATGCCCCAACAACAGAACGCGATATTAACTCAGCAAAAAGGTAGGCTTACTCTAGCTGTTCAGGCCTATCGTACAGGCCAGTTTAAGAGCATTCGACGCGCTGCAGCAGCCTACAACGTCCATCATCAGCAGATCTCTCGGCGGCTTCAAGGAATCACCTTTTAACCTACAACACAGCCAAATTGCCAGAAGCTAACTAAGTCTAAAGAGCAAACTATCGTACGATATATTCTTAACCTAGACTCGCGAGGATTTGCCCCCCGTCTATGTGAAGTAGCAGATATGGCGGAGAAACTACTACGCGAACGAGATGGCGAGCCTTTAGGCAAATGCTGGGCAGAGCGGTTTGTTACTTGTACAGACGAGCTTAGAACAGCCTTTAGTCGAGCAAAGGATCGTTAGAGAACTCAACAAGAGGATCTAGAGATTATTAACGCGTGGTTCAAGCTCGTACGAGAGACGGTTGAGAAGTATAGAGTTCATTCAGACGACATCCATAACTTTGATGAAACTGGCTTTCAGATGGGCGTAATTGGCTCAATGAAGGTAGTCACAGGCGCAGAGCGTCGTACGAGGCCTACTCTCACGCAGCCAGGCAATCGCGAGTGGGTTACAGTCATCCAGAGCATCTGCGCTGCGGGATACGCTACCCCGCCATTCATTATCTACAAGGGACGCGTCCACATCTCTGCATGGTACGAAGAAGCGGATATACCGTACGACTGGAAGCTTTCAGTATCAGAGAACGGCTGGACGAACAATGAGCTTGGTCTCGCGTGGTTAAAGCACTTTGACGAGCATACAAAGACGCGTTAGGTGGGGTTATACAGGCTACTCATCCTTGACGGCCATGAGAGCCACCTTAACTAAGAATTTAAGGATTACTGCCTCGTACGAAAGATCCTTACCCTCTGTATGCCTGCTCATTCATCGCACATACTTCAGCCACTTGACGTTGTCTGCTTTTTGCCTCTTAAGCACAAGTACTCTCAACGCGTACGAGACTTGGCACGCCACCATGTCTGGCATATTAATAAGGAGCGCTTCCTTCCAGCCTTTCGAGACGCGTTTTTTGACGTGTTTACGTCCGATAACTGCAAGAAGGCCTTTGAGGCAGCAGGGCTAGTCCCTATCGACGCGCAGAGAGTTATTGATCGCCTTGACGTACGCCTTCATACTCCACCACAAGAAGCTCAGCTAGAAATACCCTGGACGTCAAGAACACTAAGTAATTCGCATGAATTTGAGTCACAATCAAAGCTTGTAAGAGAGTCTTTCGTACGATCGCCAACTACTGCACAAGAAGGCTTTTCAAAGCTTATTAGTGTGGGTGGTCAATGCGTGCAACGGGTCAGACAATGCAACACCACCACTAAAATGTCCGCCTATCAAAAATGAGGCTGTAGAGCACCATACAAAAGCTATTATCACGAGATTCTTTAGTAGAGTAGTCTAAATAGTTCAAAAAACAATCCTATCTACTCAAATTTCTTTGGCAGTTTAATGTTGCGGCCGCGCATCGTTGTTTTGGTGGTGGGCTGCGCAGCCGACGATGCAGACGCACCACCACTTTGGCTGCCTGCATCGCCACCACCCTTTGACTTTTTTGACTTTTGAGACGATGAAGCTTTTCGTTTAGGTATATTTTGCTTATCGCGAGCTTTTTTTAAAGTTGCGACTGCGCGATCGCGAGCTTTTTGGGCGCGTCTTAACTAGAGTTCTTTGGCCCTCACTTCTCTCTCTTTATCTCTCGCTATTTTCTTTAACTCCCGCGCAGTCCTTGCTTTGTCTATTAATTTTTCTCGTAGAGCTATACTAGCAGCTCGTTCCTGTTGTTTCTATTTTTTTTTGGAGTTTTTCAAGCTCTTCTTGGTGTTTTTTTTGACGTTCTTGAGCTCTCGCATCTTCTATTGTCCTAGGACTCCACACCACCGCCGGAGTATGATACTGCTTGCTTTGCTGGAGCTCTAGAGGCTTCTTTTGCTTCTTTGGATGATTTTTGATAGCAAGTACTTCTCGTAGATTGGTGTTTTCGTGGTGCAAAATCTCGTTGTTGACCTGGAGTGAAGCAATGGTGTCTTTTACCGCAGAGACCATAACTTTAGCACAACCCGTCATAGTTTTGTCTAGAAAATTAGACAGCTCTCTTGTAGTATCCCCATTACCATGCTCTCTAAGTTCTGGATTAATATCTTGTTGTGGTGTTGACTTTTTGAGATGTTTAAGCACGGCATTACCATCCTGCGGGTGGACGCTAGTAGCTCGAAAACAGCTTAGTATCTTGTTGGACGTGAACGCCCGTGTCCACGCCGCCTAAAATAACCATAAAAAGTCACTTTTGTGCACCTCCACCAAGCCTTGACTGCGGTGGGACAGACTATTGAGTTCTTCGGTATACGCGCTCGAGAGGGGCTTGAACATGCCAACGTCGAGTGGCTGGAGTCGGTGAGATGAGTGGGGAGGGAGAGTAGCTAGGAGAATCCTGTTAGAGTCACAAAACTCTCGAAAACTTGGAGTCTGATGACTCCCATGACCGTCTAGGATCAGCAACTAATAATCACGCTTTGCTTTGTCTTTCGTTTGGCGCTAAAACACCTGCTTAAGCCAAGATAGCCCTAGAATATCGTTACTCTAGCCCGAGTCGCTAGTAGCAAAAAACATCTAGTGTTGGGAAGGATCTAGGTGCTCTACCTAGTTGTTTCGAAGTCCAGCTTTGCCCTCAAAGATTATCATAGGCGATATCCAGCTCCCGTCAGCACAAATACAGTCTAAAGTTGTTATCCACTCCCTGCTGCCGTCTCTAACAGCTGCTCGAACTTTCTTTTCATCCCAAAGTCTCTTAGAGAACACCCTTTTGGTCCTTGAAGTGACACCAAGGAGAAAGCCCTTTTCGTCCATATTATAGATATTTTGCGGCTGGATATCGTATTTCTCGATATAATCGTGAAGTAGACGGAAGTAGTTATAGTAATCTTCAAAATCGTCAGCTTTTTTGCAGTTTTGGTCGATGCCGGCGGTGTTTCTGGTGATAATTTTCTCTCTGTTCCGCCGAAGAAATCTTGTAACCCAGCTGTTAGATGGCTGTCTTTTTGCAATATTAGCAACACATTTTTTAATCATCTCTTGGGACGGTGAAGTACTACGCTTAGAGAGTTTTTCTATGTGCTGGACAAGGTATTTCTCTTGTTGTGGTGAGAGTAGTCGTCGTGGGTGTGCAGCGGCTGCACGCGACCGCGTTTTGTTTTGGTGGCGACGCGTTAAAGTTGATGCCGCAACACCATATATTTTTGCAGCTGTACGGTACGAGATTTGTCCTTCTAGACCTTGCGAATTGATTGCCGCAAGCGCTTTTTCGATAGCTGTCATAGTGGTGGAGTTGTGGGGATTTGAAATTGGTGGGTTCTACTTTGGGAGATGCAGGGGGTGTTGCATTGTCTGACCCGTTGCACGCATTGACCACCCACACTAAAGGGGCTGAGGAGATGCTACATAAGAATGTGCTTATAAAGGCCCGCGTAAGAGAGCTTGAAGAGCAATTAGCAGCAGTAACAAAGCGCCGAGGGCGCAAAAGAAAGCGAATTCAGACAGGTGGGACACTAGACTTTGGTGCAGGGGCATCGCAGGTAGCTGAAAGTAGTTCTGCTAGTCGTACGACATCAAAGAAGGCACGTGGTGAGGGTAGTCAAGAAAGGGCCCTACTAGGTCAACGGCACTGTAGAACCTGTGGGAGGACAGGCCATAACTCTCGTACGTGCCAGAAAGATGTAGAAGAAGATTCTCTTTTAGATACAAGTAAGTCGTACGAAGCATCTATAGCTAGTGTAGAGTAATCTAAGTTTTCGTACATGAAGTTCGTGATGCCAAGAAAAAGTGGCACACTCGGTGATGTGGCCCGCTCGGTGATGGAATACGTTACTAATAAAAGCTTTCTTTTTACTATATAATAGTTTTTAAGACAACTATAGATATTTTGCTATTATAAGAGTCTTAGTTATTCTTTATAGTTGTAGCTATTATTAAGTAAAAGACTAATTCATTATCTTCTCTTAATAAGCCTTAGAAGAATAGTATACTTATCTTGAATTCTAGGAATATTTTATTAGTTAAATACGCATTAACGTGGTTCACAAGCGAGTCAGTCACCTAAGCGAGTTGGTCACTCCCTACTAGCGCGTTGACGTTAATACTACAACGCGTTATATCATAATAATATAACTATTAATGAACTTATCTTGAATTAGATCTTTAACTTACTCTTTTTAATATCTAATTATAATGTATTCAAAGCTAAAGATGCGCTGCCTTTATCTATAACGTGCCTTAAAGTATAAAATCTAATTAATAGGCTCAAAAGCGCCTCTAACACAACTATAAACGAAATTTAAATCGCCTAAATAAATTTTAAGAGGAGGCTATCATTAGATATATTCTTGAAGAGTCTACGCGTGGATTTGCCTCTATAAAGGCTAAGGTTTAAATTATAGCTAATAAACTATTAGAAAAGCGTAGTAGCAACTTCATTGGTAAGAATTAGGTTAACAACTTTATTAGGTAGACTACTAAGCTCTATACGCGCTAGAGCTATTCCTATAATTACTAGCAAGCCGCCGATAAGGATCTAGTAGCTATCTAGCCCTAGTTTAACTTAGTCCAGGCGACAAGGTAGAAGTAAGGTATTATAGACAACAATATATACAATTTTAATAAAACTAGCTTTATAATAGGCAAGTTCTTATTATAGTTATTATTTATAGTATTAGAAGAATATAGAGTTAAGAAGTAGATATAGCTAGGGAACTATAAGCAGGTTACTATAATCTAAGGCGTGGGCGCGTTAGGTCGCTAAATACCACCCTTTGTTGTCTTTGTAGGCAATATTGCTTATTAACGTCTAGTTTAAGAATTTGCCTACTAACCAAGTTCTTAAAGTTAGTTTTAATAGCTAAATAAATAATTAGCTTAGTCTTGCCTAGTTAAGGAACTTTAATACTTCAATAAAGAGCTCTACTATAGGTAGGTATTGACTACTTATTCTTTAATAGCTATAAGAGCTACTACATTATTAATTTATAAGATTTTTATAAGCAGAAAAATATCATATTTCTCTACATGCCTGCGCACTTATCTTACTTATTATAGCCTATTAACGTTGCCTACTTCTTACTATTAACGCGCAAGTATAGCAACGCTATTTTAGGCTTAGCACACAACCGCACCTACTATATTAGCAAAGAGACCTATCTACTAGCCTTTAAGACTACTTTTAAGCAGTCTATCACGAAGAGGAATATCCAAGCTAGCTTTAGAGGTGCTAGTCTAGTCCTACACAACCTATAGGCTATGCTATCTAAGCTTAATGTAGTAGTGCAGACACCTATACAATTACTATAACAGACAGCTGCCTAGTAGGCGCAGACACCACGCTACTCGCGCGAGGTTAAGGCTTAAAGTACTCTTATTTAATAAAGAGTAAGAAACTATTTTAAGTTTTCTATAAACTTTTTTAATATAAAAGTTATATAGCTAAGTAAAAAGGCTTAGTAAATAGCATATGAAATAACGCTTATAAAAGAGGAAGTAGCTACTCTTTAAGAGGCTCTAGATATAGCAGATAAGCGTAAGAGCTATAGGTAGCAATATATATAGATAGAAGAGACCCTTACTATAAGCAAAGTATAAAAAGTATTAGCTAAATAGGCAGGTAGTAGTTATAGTAATAGTAAGATTGCGTTAAAGAGGTTGTAAGGAGAGCGGTAGGGCGGGCGTTGCAAGCAGACTAGACACAACGCTTGTACCTACGCATTTAAGATAGATAGTGTAAGTAATAGTAGTAGTTATGATAAAAGACTGTGATAACGTGTTAACGTTAACGCGCTAGTAGGGAGTGACCAACTCGCTTGGGTGACCAACTCGCTTATGAACCTCGTTAGCTATACTAGTAAAAGAAGTATAGTACCCTCTAAGTTTAGGCTATCTTCTCAAGCCTTCTTAGGTATAGGCTTTTGAGTAAAGGCGCTTACCTATTAAGACTAAAGTGTCCTAGTCTTTCTAGTGTTCCTTTATACTAAATTTAAGCTTTTTTTAGTTCTTATCTACGTATCTAAGAAGCTTCTTCAAAGTTCTTAATAATAACTTGTTCTTACTTAATAAGTAGTTAGAGATAATAGAGACTTTCATTGTCA